ATGAATCAAATATGTATCTTTATTCATTTACAATAAACTCATAAAGTACATCATTCTGATTGAAGCTAAGGGCATACAAAACTGTCTAACACTCCCCGCCTCCGCTCTCCCCTGTTCCACCATCCACCAGCGATGGTTGTGCCGCTGGTGCATGCATACTGCCTCCCTCTCTATCGACTTGTACTTTCTCCCCACAAAGTTTAAAAGCAAAAAAAATCAGACCCCCAATCATATCTCAAACTCTCGACATTTTTATTTTTGAAATGGCCATTAGATTGAAATATTCGGTTTTACTCCCTCGTGCTTGAGAGCTGCAGTCAGGTGAAGGGTGAGTAATTAAATAAATTTTGATGGGTTTGTTTTGTTGAGAGAATCGATTATAGATGAGGATCTGTTGATTGTATCAGGTTGTGCTTTGGTAGCACTAGTAGTCATTGGAGAGTTAGAAGGTGTCACTGGAAGTTCGCTCATCACCTACGATCGGAGAACAGGGAACTCACAGTGGTGGTAGTAAGGGGCTATCCCTTACTTCTCACAGTGGTGGTAGTCAGCAGGGAAAAACGAGGAGAGGGAGAGAGAACGAAAGGGAAGAGATTGTAAGGGGCTATCCCTTACAAGCTGAGGTGGAGGGGGCTATCCCCGCAACTAGTTAAGGACTCCGTTTGCCGTTGCTACTAGGAAGAGATTATAAGGGTAAAATGGTGGATTTAGTCAATTGTTAGAAAGTAGGGGTAGAGTTAGTCAATTTTTTAAACTTTAAGGGTAATTTAAAAAATTTTCTTTTTATCTATTCATATGAATCAATATCCAAACCCTTTCAATCTCTTTTTTTTTAAATTGATTCTTTTTCTCTACTGAAAAAATTTATTTATTTTTCAAGTTTGCCCTTTTTATTTGTTTTTGTCATTTATAAAGTTTGTATTGTTTCTTAAACCAGCCTTAGTAGTAATTATATGGATATTTTCATGCATTTTTTAGAAGATTATATCACAAGGGTTTAATTGTAATTATATCATAAAGTTTAGGGGAGGTGATTACAATTATTAAACTTTAAAAAATATTTTAGCAATAGTCAAAAACTTTAAGGAAGGTTTTGCAATTTACCCAAAAACCAAAAAGAAAACAAAGTGTCTAAATCTCCTACCAACAAAAGACATTCCACCACCCTATCTGGCGGAACCCTTTTTTATTTTTTTTCGAGTCATGTGAGATGTATAATGTTATATCAGACTAGCGGGGTACCTCTACTTCACAAGGGCTAATGAGAGGATAATGATCTCTTGAATATAAATACTTAGAATTAATTTTGTCAATGAGTTTATAGTCAAATAAGGCAAGAGATGCAAGAAATCAAAATGAAAATGTATTGGTGTTTGTCCTATAATAATTGAATGAAGGAATACTGTATTCCCTTCCATTACAACCAGCCTAAAATGCCTGTATAATTTTAAGTTTTCCACTGTTGAATCTTCACAAAAAAGATTGGCTTGTAGAATTGAACCCATTTTTGTTTCATAACTATACTTTTCAAACCATGCCACCTGCAGCCATCACAAAATTAGCTGAATTAGTAAAAGCACAAAACCGAAGGAGAGCAAAACTCCCCATTAGTAGAAACTTTCCAATATAAATAAGGACTCCAATTATTATCTCTATCCCCCCATTACTTCTTACTTGATTGTATCAAACTCAAAACCAGAAATATGATGATAAGTTTCTCAAGAAACCGAAAATGTGCACCAAAAGAGGAAAGATCAAGTGGACATGCTAAGTGGAACCATAAAATAGCCCATTTAGTTTAATTGTTAGGGAGGATTTCAGATAAATCAAAATGAAAAGAGGCAATTTTTAACAAGATAACCACATTCTTATCCATTTATGAAATTATGAACTACCGGTCATGGTTCCACGTGAGAATATCTTCTGCTAGAAGCCAATGCCCCTCTTGCACAAAAATGGTCCATACAGTGAGTTTAAGAAATGAAAAAAAAAATTGGTAAATTAGAAAATAAAACCTAGAGTTCAAAAAAAAGGACTTAGTATGGTTTCATTGCAATCATATAAAGCAATAAAACCAAAGACAAACCTATCAAATAAATAAATAAAACTAAAGACGAAGGTGCCAATTTATCAAGTTGCTAAATTCTAGTATCAGTTATCAATTGGCTACAAAAATAAAGAGTAGTAGCAGCATCATTGTAGAAGGGAGAAAATATTTGAAAATTAGCATATAATAAAGAGGAGCTCACCATGGCCCCATGATGATCCTTAATCATACCATGTGTTCCCACATAAGTGGTATGAACAAAATCAATCAATCAATCAATTTAACACAAAGTAGTATAAATCTACCCTAAGACAATTCACTATGTTATTAAATGGAAATACCACCAATGATAGGAAATTGCTAATTAAGGCCAAAATATTAAGAAAAAAGGTTGTAAATTAACAAAAAAGAAAGCTAAAAATATTAAGTAATTGTAATAGGTATACGATCTCCATGTTTAATTTTGTGCATGTGCAAAATGCGAAACCAAATCAAATCATTGGTTAGATCTGATGAATAAACCAACCAATTTCAAGAAAAAGAAAAACAAAGTTAACATTCATAAACAGACATGATACTCCCAAGGGTAGAAATCAACATAGCAACATTCAGCTATTGAAGATTTAAGAATCTACTTAATGATGTATTAGTTAGGACCAAAAAAGGTCAAAATTGGTGAAGAATATAAAGGATTTTAGCAGCGAGCAAGGAAGGAGAAGGTAGCATAAATAACAAACTCTGTCAACAAATTCTCCAAACCTAAATCCAAGCAATGAAAAACCATCATCACCTATCCTTCCAAACAAATCTTCCATCAAGGTCACTCACTTACCTTTTTCATTTATTCTGGTTAAGATTCTATTCTTTCTTTAATCCTTCTGAAAAAACCATGTCCTGGCCAAATATAAACATGTCTCTTTTGGTACCATAACTTGGCATTCTCCCAAAAACTGCTATCAAACCCTCTCTACTCTTGATTGTGATGATACCACCCAACCTCTTTTGGTCCACTCAATAAAAAGGTCATCAACCAATGTTGATCACAGCTATCTGTGGCCTTGGGAGGGACAATTCTATTCTCTTAATTCTTGGTCATTACTGTTTTAAATCCATGTGCATCATAAAGATGGCTGATTGAGTCAGTTGGATAGAAAAGGTGATGCCTCCTCCAAAAAGAAGCCACCAAAATGTGCAACTGTTAGTGTAGCAAGACAATGGCAAGAAATAGTAAAAAGGATATTGGCCCTACAAACAACAATAAAATGAACAAAAGAAAAATAACTAATATAGGTCATAACTCATAAGTACAAATGCCAAAGAAGAAAATAGAAAGAAAATGAAAAAAAAAAAATCATCAAAAGTGCTCCCTAGAACCAACATACAGGCCTAATCAATATCAGAATTTGAATGATTATATGTCTCACATGCAAACAAGAAATTAAAAGAAGCACACAAAGTTATATAAGTGGGAAAGTAAAAGAGATTTTTCTAAATGAGGTTAGTTGTATTTTTAGTGGTGTATAAAAGATATTGTTATAAGCAATTATTGTTCTAGTGGTTCTGGTTTGGCACTATTATGTAGTTTAATATTGTATAAATATGTTGAGATGATTATTATTGCCCTCAAATAGTGGGAGGAGTTAAGTTTCTATACTCTTTTTATTGCATGTCTCCCCTTGTATTCATTTTCTGTATAATTTCTTTCTAAACCAAAGGTGTGCATCATGTTTTATCTACCCAACTTCCAAGTTTCTTCTCAACCATGTCAATCAGCCTTGGGAAAAGGTAATTACACAAACTTGTTAGTTAATGAATATCTAAACTATAAATTGGTAATGGTGGAAATATACTGTAAATGGAAAGCAATTTACCCCTAATCCACATATTTCTCTTTAGCTTAGGATAATCCACATATTTCTTGAAGCTTGTAGCTTTAACCCCTACATTTCATAGATAAAAAAAGAAGGCAGTATAAGGACTCTAAAGCAATTAAAAGGGACCGCAAATGAGAGTAATCAAGTATAGGAAGACCCCTAGGAAAGGTCTAGAATGAACCTTATACTGAGAAATAAGGTAATTGTGGCTTGTTTATGCTTTTCCTATTTATAACATTTTTTATCAATATTTTCTTGATTATAACATTTTTTATCAATATTTTCTTGATTATAACATCCATGGATGAAGATGGGTTCCATAAAGGAATATTCCTTAAACACATTGAAATCTCAAAAGTTAGAGATCCATAAGCAAAAGTAGTCATACTCCTTTCTTCATTTGGAACAAAAAAAAAAAGCTTTTCCAAAGCCACTTAATCAGATCCAATGGTAGACCTTAAAATAGGACAGGAATTAAGGATATGACAAAGATATGAAGATATCCCTTTGGAGATCATTAGTCAAAGCCCAAGGTTAGTGCTACGGGCCATCTAATAGTCAAGATGTTTGGAGGTAAATTGCACAGCAACAACTTGAATCGTAGATGCTTCATTTAACATGAAATCACTCTACTATTAAATGAAAAAGTCAGATAAATTGAAGTATTTAGATGTGAAATCACTCATTGGTTAGAAATTAAATACTCAAAAGAGGAAAGAAGCAAATAAATTGACAATGAATTTATAAAATGAAAAAAGAAAAATTGACAAATAGAGAATAAAGAGCAATGAAAATATGAGACAATAAAACAATTGCAATTGCTAATTGCAAACCTTACCTCATCAATTTTTGTTTTGTATAGTACACCAATAGTAGGAACCTTAAAACGTATAAACACACAAACAAAATGGAACCTACATGCACAAAACCAAGGGAATACAATAAATAAATGTAACAAGATGCACAATAAGGACAGAAATATATTACCTCATCAATTCTTGTTTGAATTAAAAATGAAAACTTTCAACCAAACCCAAAAAGACATGAATGATTCAATCCCAAAAAGTAAGTAAAGAAATACATTCTTTTAGAATAATTCTGGTAGCAAGTAGCACAAAGAAACACAAAGCGCCACCAAAAGGAAAAAAGAAAAACAAATTGACTAAACAAATTAGTCGTGGATTGAGCTCTCTCAATCCCGCTCATTCTTTGGCCCCATACATAGCGCTAGATTTGGCTCCATACATATTCAATCTTGCCATGCGAGAGTGAAACATTGGAAGTGGAAGGAAATCAATAAAGGAGAGAAAAGTCAAGCAAAATATCAGAGATAAATCGAGAAGAAACTCATATAATAAAAAATGAAAATAGAAATCCTATCAGAGACAACCTATCTGAAAATCAAAAACAGGAAAAAAAAAGGGATTAAAGGTTGAAACCCTATCTGAGATCGAAACCCATATGATTAAAACCAATGCAAAAGAGGAGAAGATAGGGTGGCAAAGCAAAGAAATAGATGGAGAGAAAGAAAGGTTAACGGTAAGCTGGGGCCATTAGGAGTCTGATGAGAGAGATGGAAGAGGTTAGTGTTAGAGTTCCCTTGCGATAAGTTAAGTAGAGAGAGAGAGGGGGGGTTTCTAGAAGAGAGACAGGGTGGGAGAGGTAGGAAAAGAAGCCAGGCCGAGAGAGAAAGAAGGGTAAAGTCATACATTGGGATAGGGTATCACGTGTGTAAACAATGATTGACCTCGCACGCACACTTTAGGCTTAGTTTGGAATTGCCAAATAGATCTCTTGGACGAGGGAAACAGGGAAATCTCATGGAGTTTTAGGATCTTAGTGAGACAGGCACAAATCCTAGGCAATAGTTGAATAGCTGATCCAAGTGGGTGCCTAGGAATACAAATGTTTTGGCTGACACCTTAGTGAAAGTAGGGGCTATAAGGGAAAGTCTTGTTTGGGGATTACCTGAGTTGGGGATGAACTTGGAACTTCTCTAAGTTGGGAAAGAAATGGTATAAACTATTTGATGTGTTTATTCTCTTTCTTTACATCCATCTGCTTATATTATTTGTTTATCTCCTTTATTGGATAGTAAACTGTTTGATGTGTTTATTCTCTTTCTTTATACCCATCTACTTATATTCTTTGTTTCTCTACTTTATTGGATAATCACCTATAACAATAGTAGGACACTTGCAGCATTGTTTCTTTGTTCTCATATTCATCTGTGACATGTTCAACAAAGAGAAACTTATAGCACAAATCTAGAAACAATGGGTTTCATTTACTGAAAGGAGTGAAATCTGCAGCAATGCATTATTAGACCTTGAAACTCCTATTATAATTGTTGAACAAACAATATTTTAATGGTGGAAACACTGGGAACACTAATGATAGTGTTGTTTCATGTTTTTAGCATGTTGATAACACACTTGCAAGCACTAATTTCTTGTCTTTTTGCATGCTTGGTGTATGATGCAGAAAATAAAAATGATTCAATAATATTTTAGTAAAAAAGAAAATGAGATATAATAGTAATAGGAAAATTGGATTGTACAAATGGCATGGGACACCAAAATATGAAAATACAAAGAGGAATCCATTCAAGTGTCATTAATAGGCTAGAGACTTTTTTGTTTTATAGGCCACAACCATGTATGTTGCCTATGTCCTTATTTACTAATAAAAAATACAATAATCATCAATTTTTCCATCAAGCATTTCATCAAAGAAAAAAAAAGATACAAGGATGAGGGAAAATATAATAAAAATAGTATATGTAACAGAAGTCAAAAGGGAAACTTTATTAGCATTTAGACTTATACTGTTTACACAGTTAGTTAATCAGGGGTAAAATTAGTAGTTTGAGGTTGTTGATGAGCATGAGAATCTAAATATGCCATTTAGGCTCTGTTTGGTTAAAATAATAGAGAGTAGCAAGAAATTGAGGAGAGAAAGTTGTTAAAAAGTTTATCTTTTATTTTCTATCAAACCCAACATTTCTTTGTTTAGCTACCTTATCCACAGCACACATTAACATTTTTGTCAAACCATAGGGGGGGCCAACCCCTAGTTCCTCCCCTACTTCCTCCCACCTCCATACTCTTTTATATAAATTGGTAGATCATTATTTACTTCTTAGGCTCATTTTGGAATTGCCAAATAGTAATCTCTTGGATGAGGGAAACAGGGAAATCTCATGGAGTTTCAGGATCTTAGTGAGACAAGCACAAATCCTAGGTAGTAGTTGAATAGCTGATCTAAGTGGGTGCCTGGGAATGCAAATGTTTTGGCTGACACCTTAGCGAAAGCAGGGGCTATAAGGGAAAGTCTTGTCTAGGGATTACCTAAGATGGGGATAAACTTGTAATTTCTCTAAGTTGGGAAAGGAATGATATAAATTGTTTGATGTGTTTATTCTCTTTCTTTATATTCATCTGCTTATATTCTTTGTTTCTCTCCTTTATTGGATAGTAAACTGTTTGATGTGTTTATTCTCTTTTTTTATATCCATCTGCTTATATTCTTTATTTCTCTCCTTTATTGGATGGTCACCTATAACTTATTCAATAGTCGGACACTTGCAGCATTGTTTCTTTGTTCTCATAGTCATCTGTTTATATTCTGGTCATCTAGCAAAATTTACAAGCCTGAATTTCACTCATTTTAGAAGATAATTGGAACCCATCTTATGCAATTCACAGGAACCATTTTGTACCAATTTATGATTTAGCTTTAGACTCATTGTTCGTGTAATGATTATGCATACAAGACATAGCCCACTACAAGAATTTTTTATTATATGGGCATTACTTGAACATAATTTAGAGGAATTTTATGAATGCCTCATAGTGACAGATCATGTCTGATCATAACCAGATACTATCAAGCAGTGGGGCACACTACATCGAAGTCCCAAGTGGAAAAGCAATTTCATGGAAAATAGAAACTCCCAAAAACTAATTCTTACACATCTCCAAAGCTTATGCCCAATAGAAAAACATCAGTAGACAGAATATCTAAGACAACTAAAATCCTACAATCAAGTTCACAATATGGCACTAAAAATGCAATAGAGAAGTAATGAAAATGATGTTTGAACTAAATTGGAAAATCATTGCTCATATTTTCACCAAAAATGGCTCAACTTATATATAAGTAGATTTAATATAAATTACATGCAAGCACATAAATTCATTATGATAAGAGTTCTATTTACTTATTTATGGTTTCTTCCAAAACATTGGCCTCTTCTCTTTTTCTTCTCACATGTTATCCTTATTCGACAATGAAACTTCTTGAAGCTTGTATTCCTAAGATTCTCTTCAAGAAAATTATTCTATTGGTCAGGTATGAAAATTGTTGCTACTAAAGTTATGCTTTATATAAAAGAAAATTACATAATTCTTCTGAAAGTTAGTTTCACACATGAAAAACACTAGTAGCCTGTTTTATTACTCTTACTCTAGAGACTCTTCAATGAAAAACCATGTTAATGTGCACGGAAGTGTCAATTCCAAGTAGAGATAATAAACATCGTATCTTTACTCCAATTAGTGAGAATGGACACTATACCTTTACATAAATAGGAAATTAGCAAATTATAGCTTGTTGCATGCATGGAGAGAGTTATAGCAATATCAGAATGTTGTAAAGTTAGTTGTACTTATATGGCTTCATAAGACATATAACAGATTTGAACGAATATATTTACCTATGAACTCTTCAACAGAGATGCTATTACTATTTAATATTAACAACTATCAGAAGTACCTTAAATTATAAAAAAACCCTTTTAATCAACAATTAAAGAATGCTTTTCAACTGTTACTTTTAAAAACTTATATCTACTTCAATAGTCGCAGGGAAGTTTTCATATAGCCATTGATAATTTACTAATATTATTTCTACATCTAATTAACTATCATACAAAGGAATAATCTATTGCTAATTAGGAACAAACATCAAGTTAATGTTTTATTGACAGATGAGAAAAACTCTTAATACCATCCATAACTACAATGGGCCTCAATAATATTCCAGTAAAAAAAGAAAATGGGATATAATAGTAATAGGAAAATTGGATTGTACAAATGGCATGGGACACAAAAATATGAAAATACAAAGAAGAATCCATTCAACTGTCATTAATAGGTTGGAAACTTTTTTGTTTTACAGTCCACAACCATGCATGTTGTCTATGTATGGCGATTGCCACTAGAAAGATGGAGTTTTAGCGGCAGCCCACTCTCTCTCGCCCGCTAAAAATACCCATGCTTCTCCCGCCCTCTCTTTCTCTCTCTCAATCATCCCTCTCTCTCTCTCTCTGTTTCTCACTCAGTCGTCTCTCTCCTTTTCTCTCTCTCAGTCATTCGTTCCTCTCTCGCTCTCCCTCGCTCTCAGTCATTCCTCTCTCTTAGTATGGTAATAGGTTTAATGATTCTTCTGGGAAGTTAGATTTCTCCGCTTAGTTCAAGCCCATCAAATTTTGATTGAGACATAAAAACATTTTTACCATATACTCCAAGTAAGTCGAAACGAAAAAACACCAATTGTTTAGTTTATCCTATTTTGGGAACTAAACAAGGTTGTTTTCTTCATCCCAGATTAACCTCACTAATCCTCTATTTTCTCCTTTTTGTTTGTCTGATTATCTTATAATTAATGAAAGAAGAATCTATTTGGTTACACTGTTGTTCAAAAGCTTTGTTCGAGAGCTCAAGGAGATGAGGGACAAGATTTCATGCAAGTCGAGGAGAGGAAGAGAAGGAAAGGATGTGGGTAGCCACAAGATATCGCATATTAGCCCTAATGTGTCAAGTTCCAAACGGATTTGATTAAACAGGGCACGTGGACTAACCTACCTCCGGAGTTACTTATGGATGTGATCCAGAGAGTGGAGGATAACAAAACATTGTGGCCTGCGAGGAGAAGCGCCGTTGTTTGTGCGTTTGTTTGTAGTTCGTGGAGAGAGATTGCAAAAGAGATTTCAAGACTCCTGAGCAATGTGGAAAGATTACCTTCCCTATCTCATTAAAGTAGGTTTTTACGCCTCTCTCTCTCTCTAGATAATATTCTTTTGTTCTCTATTTTCTCTACTACTTTTCTTTTTTTTTTTGTTGTCATTGCTTCAACTTTGAATAGCCTAAGTCCCATGATTCGCCCATTCAGTGCTTTATAAGGAGGGACAAATCAACTTCTACTTATTGGCTCTATCTTGGTCTTTGCCCTGGTATATGCTTTATTTTGCAAATTTCTTCATCTCTTAAGACATTATTTTTATTGTCGTATTATATTTATTTTACTGGTCATTGTTTGAAACTTTGAATTGCTTATCCAACAAAAATTTCAACTTAATTAATTCAATATTGCTTGGGTGATTATTTCTACAGCTTTAGTGCACCCACGCTTGCCTTGCTCATGTGCCAATTAGGTGTCTGGTTCCATTTTCCCCTTGTTTGTTAGACTAGAAAAATAAAATATCAAGACAATCTTTGTTTTGTTTTTAGAGCCCTAATTTATATGTTTGGGGGTGAAAAAAATATGAATTCAGCATAATTTGATTCTCTTAGAGGTGAATATTTGGGCATAAAAGCAAAAAACCAATGTTCATTCATATAACATTTTTTCCCTTTCTAAGAAATTAAAAAGTTCTTGTCTTGAATACTTGATCTTTTGTTGCTTCTATGTTTTTGATGAATGGTAGCAATGAATGCCACAGTGCAACACACACTGAATTGAGTTCCCAAAGACATGCTGAGACCCATTAAAAAAACAGTTTTCTTTTGCCCTCTGACTAAGGATGTGCCTTCATCAGACCCCTAAAATAGTTATTATTAATCAAACTTGATTA